AGCAATCGAATAATCTAGAAAATGATAATGATTGGTCATTATAGGAAAACACTTTTACACACTAATGCATTGATCAATGAAAGCAATGCTACAAACAATGCGAAATATGATGAAAGATGACGCTCAAATCGTTAAACAAGAATGTACCTCCTTTAGCAAACAACTTCAGAGTACGTGATCTGACCATCATATAAATAAAGCGTAGTGAGAAATGCAAATCAAGGTCGAATGCACTTGAAGAGGTGACATCTAGGTTTGATAGAAACGTCAGGCATAGAAATCGGAAGAAACCTATATAAAATCAGGCGCCACATTAACTAAAACATTTTATTTTTAGAAAAAATGAGTTTGAAACAAATGATGGCGATATACTACACTATTGTTTTAACATGAATACCTTAACAGATTTCGCTTCAAATCAACGCAAACGTGAGATATCGCTGAAGTCAGCTCTTTAATAATAGTTGATCAGAAGAATTTGATGATATAAACAATCTATATAACAGATTTATGTCCAGTACTACATCTAGCAGTTTTTCAAAATGAGTTTCATTCTAAGCGCATTAATAGATATTCAGTTCGAGATAGATTCGATGACTCATATATTGTTTCATCAATGACTAAATTTGTGCAACTGATGACGTAACGAGAAAAAAGTTGTGAGGCAAAGAATGAAGCTTCGCTGGTAATTGTTTTGGATAAGAAGACTCAAGCCTTTTTCTAAGCGAAACTCAATCGCTGCTACGGTGAAATAGAGATTGAGACTCTTATAATACCCGCCTGGCTACGACTCCAGAATCGATTTGATAACTTTGTTAAAAACAAAAGGAATGGAAACTCTTCTAATACGCTTTTTCATTTTGTATTATTTAGGATTAAGGAATAATCTTATTTCTATATAGAAATTATATTGTTTGTTGTGATCTTACAAGAACTATCATAGTACTAAAAATGCAATTAAATACTATGAAAGAAAGGAAGTTATTAGAATTCACATGCAATGGGACAACAAAGTTGTCATAATGACCTCAATCCATGCAGAGCTTACTTAGTCTGTTGTAAAACATCGATAATGACAATAGATTGGATTTGCTGATTAAAAAAATGTCAACCTAATGCAGTTTGTATTTTGTATGTTTGATCAATGATCCGTGACTTTTATTCAATATGTTGGCAAATAATTGTTAATCATATTGTTTTTTTTTATCAAACCATAACACAGAAATTTGTATTAATCACTTTAAGTTAGTTTGAGAAATATTCGAGAAGAAATCCATTAATTAAATGATCGTTTGTATCACAGTTTTTTGATTACGACTAAAATGTTAATGAAGATCGATACGAGTAATTTGAGCCAATCAAATCATTGTGCTTAATTATTCATCTTTTACACGATTACTGACAGTTTGTTTAGTTTCATTAGATCATTTCACAATTATATATTTACTTCGTGACTTAAAGATTATTATCTATGTCAAGATATTTACATCATAGTTTACAGAAAAAGAACAATTATTGTTCTATCAATATTATTAGTCATGTTTTTCTAAGCACATGACTTTGAAATATTTCATATCAATGCAAAAGAATAATTACTTAACGCCTCATATTTCTGTAGTAATTTGTAAAATAATTTGTCTGTCATATTTAAAAACAAGATCCTACAGACAAAGTACAATTGAAATGATATCTTATCTTACATTGCATATAATTATTGCTGTCAAAATAGAATTTTAAATTTGTTTTGTAGAAAAAGAATCATTTTTCATTAATAAATATAGGAAGATAAAAGAGTAATATGAATACCTGTGATGGAAAATATATGAACATGTGTTATTTTACAAGTGAAAAATACAATAAAACCGTTGAAATATTTATCACATTACGAATTTTATTTAAAAAAAACCTAGTTGCCTGATTTACAGAACAAGGAAAGTTCTATTTTATCCATATTAATCAAATCCCCAGTGCACTCAGAAATTCTAATTTGTTGTCCAGGTTAACGATTTTCAAGTTTTATACATGGAGGAGTAGTCCAAAGTGTTTGCTTCAAAGTTCTTTTAGCTGCAATATATAGATTTGTAAAATAGAAAATATGACAAGTATAGATTGACGAACATGTGCTATCAAACATTGCACATCTTTCAAAGGAATCTTCTCTTAGAATCTTATTACGATAGAAAAGATGATGTTCATCGTCAAAAAATTCTTTTCACAGTTTTCTAGATAATTTCACATGCTAAAGAGTTCGAACTGGTTTTAAATTAAAAATAACTCTGGACTCTATAACTTAAAAATCTGATTTTCTTTCAGTTTCGACTTAGTTCTGGAAAAAAAACAGTAAATAAATATTTTCGGTATGAATACCTTCATGTAGTTGCACTTTTTAAGGAAAGCTGTCGTCAGGTTATAAAAAAAAGAACATTCTTGAAAACTTAGACGTTGTTAAGTTATGGCCACAAGCCATAATTACAATTTAGCAGAAACTCAAAATTTTGTATCATTAGATTTAGAAAAGGCATACTTAAAACACAGAAATCTACTTTACAACCATTGTTATGATAATAGCTCTTGAACAGTACAATATTTTATGCTAAAATTTTTACTGTGAACTATGCACATCAGACATATACAAAGTGTTTTATAAGTTTTGAGGTTCGAGAAAACTGATTATATTCAGAAAATAAATTTTTGTCTTAATCATTACATTTTTGTTGTGCACCACTTTTTATTAATTTTTTACAGTCATTACAAATTGATTTTTTTCTGTACTTTTTTCTTCTATATTCTTTCACTAGGTCATACATATCAGCAACTCTAGCTTCATCTTTTTTGCGATAGAACTTGATAATTATATAAGTTCGTAAATAGTTCAAAATACTATCTTTGTTATGTTTTCTGTTCTGTACGTGACATTTTTATATATTTTATCTATTTCAATCCGGTTAATGAGTACATAGCTTGCCTGAACACGTAACTAGTGCTTCGTGATTATTATTGAGTAAACGAATAAGATAAATAATTATTGGTTTCTACTATTCTGTTTTTTTTTATGTAGAATATTTTCAACACTGTATTACAAAGTCATATCAATATATTGCAAAGAATTTATCGACATATTCTCGTGTTATTATGACAAAAGAAGATATTATTCACTAATATGTCATTCAAAAGATTGACATGAATATTCAAGAATGATATAAAAACGTTCGATTAGGATTTAATCTCTATCTGCATATAAACTAGTTTTGTTGCATCGCAACACTTATGAAATATTATGTATATTTGTTAAAAAAATTTAGCCAAATATTTTATTCTGGTATAAAAATAGATTTCTGAATGATCGGAGAACGAAGAAAATGTTAATTAAATTTAATTGAACTATCATGCATTGCTTAATAACATCATTTGTTTTATTAAACAGATTTTTCTCTATTCACTTCACAATAAGCAGAAAGTAGATCAATGTTCGTTTATACTCTAATTTGACCTATTTATCAAAATGTATCGTTATAGTTTTATTTATTTTCAAAACATTTAAGAAATTATATCAGAATTTGTACGCTCTATTTAGTTTTCAATGTTTCATATCTTTCTTTTTTCGTAATTAAATCTATATTAGTTGAAAAATCTGTTGGCTTCTTTTTTCATACTGTTAGCAGTAAAATTCTATATTTACTATTCAGAAGATGTCAATTACATACATATTATGACTATAGTCAATTATATATAATAGTGCATGATATTGCATGATGAAATATAGAAAAAGATAAAGTTCTTTTGACGCATTAGTTTTAGTATTAATGTCACTATTTTCGTGTGTTTAGTTTTTTTTTTTATTTATGAGAATCATTTTTTTGAATCAACACATAAATTTTTTATTATCTATTCCATCTGCTATTAGTCAAATGGTTTTTCTCTTTTTTTTTTTTAGAAGAAAAATATCGACCTACGTAGTTAGCGCAAAATAAACGAGTCAGTAAAGAATGCGTTGAATTCTCATCACAATGAATGTCAAAATGACGTCTTTCTTCTTTTTATTGTTGCTTTTGTGTTTCTCTCGTCTTTTTTTTTATTATTTTGTTATATCAAATTATCGCCTGAACACCCACGATGTTAGCATTTGAAGAAAAGAGAAAAGAGATCTTATTATTTCTCTAGATTCATAAGCTTGACAACACATACACATACAATTTGTTCTATAGCGATTCAATAATGCAGTTCATTCCTTTCTATATTTTTGCTATTATTTGTGGCTATTATTCATTGGTCATTTCAGCTCCTATTAATCAAAGTAGTACTAACGAAATTATTTTATAAATAAAAGAAAAATATTAATATTTATTTCTTCTAGATGCTCAAGAAACAAAACATCAAAAAGCAACAGCTATTGCAAGTCGTCTTTTAAAAGAATTAGCCAATGAGGAACTTACAAATCAATATTCAAAAGAAGATCTACAACAAATTGAATCATATCTTGACAAAGAATTAAACAATAATGAAGAATATATTGAATATATACCAACAATCGATGATTTATATTCAATTTATGATAATATAAACGACGAAGAACTTTCATCAGAAATAAATGACAGTGATGACATTCTTTCAATAGATGAGCAAGAATTAATGAATTATTTAAAAAAACAACAACAACGTATGTTTTTATAATAATTTTTTTTTTTATAACTAAATCTTTAATCTTCTTATTTTAGTTGACAAAGATTTATCATCAGTGAAACAAACGCCAATAATCGATGATAGTATTATGAAAGCAGAAAATCATTAACAATAATATTTTATTATTCATGACAAAACAAAACGAGAAAAATCAAGCATGAGTGATTATTTTTCAAAAATACATATATAAATATATTTCTACTTAATTATTGTACATATCTATTTATGTTGTATTTGTGCGTAAATATATTCGTTAAAAAAATTATTGACAAACAAAAATAAGAATGTTTTTTTTTTAAAATTTACTTTGTTGTTTAAACTTATTCTCCATCACGACTACTTCGATAAACACGAAGAATATCTTCAACTGGTGCACGACATATAGGACATTTAACAGCATTTACTGTTGTACCTTGTTGAAGTTGTAATCCACACATATAACAAACACAAAGATGACCACAACGATAAAGAACTGTATCAGCAATAGCACTTAAACAAACAGTACAATGACCAGCTTGTACTGGTTGATTTGATGAATTCATGGTTGTTGTAGAACTATTTGCTAAAGCACTAGCTACATCTTGACGTAATGATCGTTGCATGTCCATTTGCATTCTATACATAAGTTGAAGCATTTGTTGCATTGTATCAATGCGTGCTGATAATGCGTCAATACTCGAAGCAGGCTATTTTATATACAATAAGAATTTCAAAAAAAACCAAACAGAATTTTTGTATTTAAAGAAAACACTTACGGCATGAACATTGGCTCGTGGTAACTGAGGAGGAACTGGTGGTATTGCGGCCGTAGGTGCTACGTGTTGTTGTTGTTGTTGTTGTTGTTGTTGTTCAGCAGGTGCTCCGCGTTCCAAACGATTCTATATATATATAGAAAACATGCTTTAATTTTGATTATTAAATAGATATAAATATCTTACTAAAACGTTTTGTTCAAGATGGCTACGAAAATCACTTTCTAGAGCACTTGTTACTAATTGTCTATGGACAAGATCACTAATTTCTAAGACAATTATTTCACGTTGTAGTTGTGTTATTGCTTGCCATGCTTGGAATTCACGTTCTTGTCTATTAAAATTAATTTATTTCATAGATTGACAGATGATTTGAAATACAAAATACCTTTCAACATTGGAAGGTGCACGTGGTGGTTGTTGTTCAATAGGAATTTGAGGTACTGTTTGAGTGATCCGTGGACGTTGTTGTTCAATAGGGATTTGAGGTACTGTTTGAGTGATCTGTGGACGTTGTTGTTCGACAACATTAGCTGGAGGTAAAACTTGTGGTACACTTGGTGCTTGACGAATTTGCTGTATTGGTGCTACTGGTCGAATACCAATTGTATGACGAATAGTATTTTCTAGATCTTGTCGAAAAGCAGCACTACCTAATGCTGCTGATACACATCGACGATTGGTTAATGCATCAATATCAGCTATATGGGCACTAGGTGGTGCTGGTCGTGTTGATGGAACCCTTATTTCTTGTTGATGTTCATGAATATTATTAAGAAATGTTTCAATTCTTTCACGATTATGTTGTCCTGTTACGGGTCGTTCACCTAAGCGTAAACGACGTAATTCAAACATGACTTCAGTGCGTTGTCGTTCAATAAATCTTGTAAATGCATCAGCTTCAACTTCAAGTGCTGAACAAGCTACATCTTCTTCACTTCTCGCACTTGAACTACATTCAGATTCATAACCATTTTCATCAATAGTGGTTGTTATAGATTCATCTGTATAGATCAATATATAAAACATCATCAAAACATAATTTTTTTTATTCACTACCTTTACTAGCAACTACTGCTTCTGTATCTTCTCCACCAGTTGCCATATTCAAATCTGTCGAAGTATTATATTCGTCCGTCATTTATTTACGATATTTTTTAAATTAAAAAACTAATGCTATTGTTTTTTTTGTGCACACACAGACTGCCAAAGAAGAACGGAAAAGCAGTTATTTATTTGTGAGGTATTGCACAACTCTTAACTCATAAACTTGATGAATCACTCATCAAATTTGGTTGTTATTTATTTCTTCTTTTGTTTTTTTTGCTACATATGAAAAGGCGTCAATATATGGATATGACTCACATGCTGACTTTCAACCATAGAAGCAAATAAGTCAAGAACGCACAACGTCTAAGTTTTCATGTATATTGAAGATATGACTCAATATAAAAAGGTGTCTTGTAAAAAAAGTTATGATTCAGTCTATACGTATGCAGATTATACAATTAAAAATAAGTTAAAATGACGTTCTCATAAATATTCTTAAGTAAATAATGGTTGTTAAGGAAGAATTATTTGACTTAACATGAGTTTAATATAAGAACTTATTTTTATCAAAGTAGCAAACGTAATACGAAACTTGTACGATATAGATTCTTTTAAAAATTATCGTATCATCGATTAGTCATAGGCTAAAAGTAAATTCAATGAAATATTATCGATTTTTTATTATCAAAATAATTATGTTCAAGAGAAAAAAAGTGGTTAGTTCATTTAATCTTTTGTTTTAATGCTTAATATTACGAGAACAACAACTTATAACATTTGAATTATGAAAGATTCAGATAGATTTTTTTTTCTCAAATCAAACTATTTTTATTGATGTCAATGAAAATTTCTATGAGGAATTACGCATTAGAATATTTATATTAGATGAATATTCATCAAAAATACACTTAATATATATTTTCAGCTTACTTCCTAATCAAAATTTATGATCGAAACAAAATGAAATGATTGTTCGTCATTGTAACTTATCATACATTCGTTTTGTCTTATACTTTATCTTTTACAGAGACATTAAAGGTAACAAAGCATATCTATTGTGGGGAGGTAAAGTACATGTACACTTGTTGTATAATTTCTATGTTTGACGAACATTGAATTAGTGTAAAAAGTTAATATCGAGTTTGGATAGTGAAGAAAAAGCTTTCAGGGCAATTCCTATGGGATTACATAATTAAACACAATGGAGTTACTATAACCATTATGAAAAATCTTATAATTTATGTGACAGCTGATGACGGACCAAAAACTAGGCAGTCAAAAACCTTGCTAGGCTGTTATTGATTGTAACCAACGTATGAGCATGTCTATCATAGCCTATCAGTAGGTTGAAAATAACATCAGCATATTTGTCACGATCTTTGGAAGAGACTGGAGATAGATTGATTCAATTTTCTTGTTATATACTTGAACACTCATTAATACTCATGTTTTACAAAAGCACTATAATCGTATTATTGGATGAGAACAGTGAAAAACATCTGTCGATTGCAACCCTAAAGTAGATATTGACAAAGAAAAATTCATACTTACGGACAAAATACTTTAAATTAATGGTAAAGTAAAAAGTGGAGAAAAAAAATTCTAATTCGTACGAGGCATTATTAAATTTATATAAGATGTATCAATCATGGATAAAATTCTATGACGAAAACGTATTTATCAATTAACTAAAAGTTCATCGAACATATCGGTTATTCTCAAAATATCTATATTGATTAAAAATATTCCATTCATCTAGTAAAATATATGGATATAACTTTAATTGATATTCAGTGTTTGTTTATAATCCTTCTTAATCTTTCTGTTCCAGTATCAATGAAAATCTACAATGGCCAAAGATGAACAAGAGTTTAATATTTATTGTTATTAAACAACAAAGAATAAGATTATTTCATCAATCTATTTCATAAAAAACAATAAAAAGAAATCAAATTGATCATAGAAAATTTTCAATTGTTATCAATATCATAGCATTATAGAAATCAAACATAATTTATTCAACTCGACCAAAAAGACGTATTCGAGAAAGACCACCATCAGGAATAATATTAATTCGTACATGGGTAATGGGACCAAGATCATTTATTTGATCTTTTTCAAATGTATGGATAGCATCCATTGTTAATTTCTGTTCAGGTAATAATGTTTCCCAAAATAATGATTGATTGACTAATGATTTACTATTACTCAGAGTCGTATCAGCTGCTTGAATCATACATCGATCAGGATAATTGCCTTTATGATGAGCCGTATCAACAAGAATACGAGATATTCTTCCACGTCTACCTAAAGCAAGTAAGCACCATTCATTACCGGGTACACGTCGTCGTCGAGTTTCCCATCCATCACCCATATTAATACCTCGATCAGGACGTAACAATGCCCAAGGATTACCATAATGTTCATCACTTGCTGCTATAGCACGACCACCATTCTCAAGAGCTACTAAATCAACTTCTTCGTTAAACTTATCTTCGGCTGGTTGAACAATGCCATAAACACGAAGTCGAGCAATGCCACCATCTGGATAAATATTTAAACGAATATGAGTCCAATGACCTTGAACATCAATTGCATGAAAATGATGAGCATTTGGACCTAATGTAACGGCATGTAAAATTTCTTCCCAATTATCTGGTTTTTCTTGTTTATTAACACAGCATGCATCAAGTGAGGCAGCTACTGGATAATTTCCTGTGAAATGACTTGTATCAATATCAACACCAACAATTTGTCCTGGTAAACCTAACTGTACAATACACCAATCATAACCAGCAACACGTTTTCGACGGGTTTCCCATCCTTCCATATATTGACCATGATCATCAAATCGTCCAGGATGAAAAACAGCTGGTGCTGTATTAAGCATACGTGATGCTGGAGCAAAAAATTCATCAGAATTAGATAATGCTTGAGCACCAAGACGTTCATCAGCTAGATTCACATAAGCTGACGCAGTTGTCTGATCAAATATAGGTGATGTAGTAGACATAATAATAATACTTTTACGAATAGAAATAAATTAAAACTTATCTAAATTATATTGTATATGATATGATATTGATTATAAAGATAAATCGTTGGTTAGTCAATTTGTTTATAGAAAAAAATTGAAGTTCATTACGTATAGAAAAGACAAAAAAAGTAATTATAAGAAAAGAATTTTACTAAACCTAATAATAGAAATGAAATAAAGATGTTCGAGAATAGAATTATAGCTATCATAATTCTATAAATTATTCATTCTGTTCAACCAAATATCTATTTGAAACAATAATAGTGTTACGAAATTTAACAATTATTTGTTGTTCAAATAATTTATTGTTCTTTTCAAATGGTAAACCGAAGAAGTGATTCTAGACAAGGATAGAAGCTATAGAGTCTATTTTGGCTTAATTTCTAACTATATTTCTTTATGTGCATACGCATACACATTTTGTATAACTATTCTTTGTGTTCTAGTAGTTAAGTGCGTTCGAAAAATTGAATGCTGTGACTAATGTAAATATTAGATAAGAACTATGCATTTGATGAAAAAAAACATTCGCACGAGTATAAATATAAAATAGAAGAATAGAGCTTGAATAATAAACTACGAAACTTATTTATTAAAGCAAAATTTTAAAATATATAATTTTGAACACATGTATTTCGTCTATTATTTATGTAAGAATGTTTTAAAATACGTGAAAATTTTTGAAAAAAAAATCAATCATTTTCTTACGTTTCTTATATTATATTTCTTCATTTATCTGTGAACAAGTTTTAATGGTTCTATTTTTTTTTGTTGATTTCTTTTCTACGCGCATACTTACCTATCTGCTGATAAAATATTCATACACTCACATTTTACATATGAAATGTTATCTATCTTTTGATTGAAAGCAAACAAAGCAAAACTATGATTATTTTCATAAGTCAAAAAGCAAAAAAAAATCGAATCGAGCAAGTGTAATATCGAATGACTTGGTTTTTCAGGAATCAAAATTAAATTTGAATGGACTTTAAGTCAAAACCAAGATTTAAGAATTTCAAAAAGTTGCAATTGAAATTATTTTTTTTTGTATAATGTTCAACATCATTCACTCGCTGACTAACATTACATTATCATAATGTTCAAAAGTACTTCATCAAAGCATGTTCACATTCTTAATACATAAATGCTCATGTATTTGTATGTGTGTTAGGTGTGTACGTTTCTCGTTTTTTCTTTTCTTTTTTTAAGGATCATCTGGTGCATCGTCTTGTACATATCTAGGCACTGTGTCTTCTTCATCCGTGAGAACCAATCAAATTTCTCCATTTTTACTTATTTTAACTTTCTTGACTTTTTGCAAAATAATAATTGAGGATGCATGACGCCACCATTTTTAGTTTTTGTCAATTAATTTTCAAATAGAAGAGTGTGACCAGTTACTATTCTTTTGCTCTTTTTCTTTTTTCTCTCTTTCTGTGCTTTTTGTATTGCTCCTTTTCATTGCTTTTTTCATGGGCGTGGAAGATACTTGCTAGAATGCTGTGTGAAAAGGGCTACTTTTTCTCTCACTAATGCTTGTCACTCATATAGAATTGTATTCACTCTAGAATTATTAAGCCATAAATCCGTTGATGTACCTGAAAAAAAACTTGTTAGCGCAACCCCTTTGGGACTGAAATGTGGAACTCACATATCTTCTTCAGTTTCATTGTACTAATGACAAAATATATAATGTTTATATTCTCTCAAAGACGCTAATTCTTTTCTAATGATAATCAATTGTCAGCAAATGTTGTCTTTTTTTTATTTATATACTTCGAACAGAATTTTTTTTTCTGAAGTTGCTATGGTCTGTAATAGGAGTCTGTTTGTAAGGGGTGAGGAACCGCGAAACTTTGAACTTAAAACTTACACTCACTATTTTCTTCGAAAATATATGTGAGTTCCACAAAAAACTAAAACTAAACAAGTTCCAAAAAGAAACTTTAAAAAAAAACTGGAAGAAGTGATATTTTTTTGAAAATTGATGTTAAAAATCAGGTAAGCATGTAATGCCC